GTTTCTTTGGCATAAATCACCATTTTAGTCGTTATAATTATTTAAAACATAAACTTTATCATATACATTAGCATTTTTCAATATTTTATGTGAACTGTTTGAATATAGCTATAGTATGTAATATGGAGCATGTTACAAATATTAATAATTTCTTCTAAACTCATCATTATACAGAATTCATTTTCATTGAAAAATGAAATGACATCTGTGTTATCACTCAGTCAGTCTAGGGCCAAGTGAATCGACATTCAATGTCGATGAACGTTACTTGTTGTCATTGGGCAACAACATGTAATTCTTCTTACTAGTACAATGTTAGTTACTATTATTAACTATAAATGTAATGACTGTCAATTCCACATGGCATTGTTCTGACAGATGGCACTCATGCTCACGTATACTCATCACAAAGCTTTCTTACAAATGATAGAAATAAGAACAAAATCTATCTTCTTGCAGCTTAGTGTTTAATATGTGTACGTGTTACTCTGTAAGATATGTGAATATGTATATAATCTCAGCCTTATTCGACGGAACTTTTGTAACAATTTTCGTGATTTATGGTTTGTTTAGATAGTTATTATCGACTCGTTGCAATATGTTCTGATTCTGTTTGCATTTTCCTATATTGTGATGTTGAAGGATTATTTCTTCTCACTAAACATTTAGAGAATCTGGCTCGAAAAACAAAAATGAGTAATTAAGCCTCATCACCAAATATTGCTAACACCTGTAGCTATCACTGAAATTAAAATCTAAGCGCTACCAGTGATAACGATCTCGCAATGAGTAAAAAAATTCATTGCATCGCCTGTATTAAATTAATTCTAGCTGTTGTTCCGTCTGTTGTCTTTGGCATATTCGAACAATATCTAGAATTACTACAACGTCAACAGCCAATATTCGAGAACTGTATCGATGTAATCTCAGATCTACTCATCAGTTCACACCAGAGACGAGAACAGGGCAGGACAATACCGCCGTCCTGCCGCCCTGTCCTGTCCTGTCCCGCAGGACGAGACTAGAAATTTCGTCCTGTTCTGTAAGTGGCAGGACGGGGTTTTCGCAGGGCAGGGCAGGACAAGCCGGACGGCTTTGTCCTGTATTTTTATATGTAGTTTTTGGATGAATTTTTAAAAATTTTCGCTTTGAATGTTGTGTTACTCGAAGCAATTAGTGAATAGTTCACATATCAACTATTATTTATAGGTGTCACTATAAAAGTGTTCATCATTGTATCACATTGGTCAATAAAACTGTTAAATAACAAATGACCATACAACACAACCAGAAAAATAAATAAATAGAGCATAACAATATCTGATGATGATTATTTATTCAATCGTGTTTATTATTTTTTTGTTATTTAATCGTATTATCTTTTTAATGATTTTCAGATTTCTAATATTTAGAAAACAAGATTATTTATGGATGTCGTTGAAGTTGATGCATCCGATGAAGCTCCTCTCGATTCAAAAAAAATCAAACAGTTACTCTATTCAGACAGTAACAAATATGCAATTATCGAGAACAAATTATCAAAACTATCTCCATCTTGATGGAAGGTGTTTGGATTTCCTGCAATGTAGGATAAAAATAAGAAACATCGACGTATGTTTGGATACGTCAGTTGCTTCAAGTGCTTTCAAACGTTTATTTATTCTTCAAAAAGTGGTACAACACGTCTAAAGGAACACGAAATCAAATGCTTCAAAAACAATTCTTCACCATCATCATCGTCCATATCAGTTTCTTCGGAAGTAATTAATCAATCCGATACTTTATTATCAGCTCAATCAACACTTGCTCAACATGGGTTCAAAATGCCCGTAAAATTAAGTGAAAAAGATATTGAAGATATGAAAAAATTAAGTGCTCAACGGATGTGCGAAAATATTCGTCCATTCTCGGTGATAGAAGATTCCGGATTTCGTACAATTGCTCAAGAATTAATACGTATTGGTAAAAATGGTTCATTTTCATTTATTAAGGATGTGTAATACTTTTTATTAGTCTTTCAGGACATAAATATGGAGTAGTCAATGTTGATGATGTTTTACGAGGTCGTCATACAACAGCATAAACCATTTATAATCTTGCTGATTCATATAGAGCACGTATTAAACAAATATTAATTGAATCAATTCAACAACGTGCTGTTACAATAAGCCCGGATTTTTGGTTGGACCCTTATAAAAATATATCGTACTTAGGATTAAATGTTTCATTGATTGATGATAATCATCGGTATTTCTCTATTGATCTGTTTTGTCGTGCATATTTTGGTGTTAAATCCGGTGATTTAATACTTAAAGTAAGATCTTTCAGGAAGCTAAATACACTCATTGAAACTTTAGATTTCTATTTTGAAACCGATATCCGTGAAAAATATTTTTTCATAAGTCTATTAATCTACTCTTCACTGTAATGAAAGTATTTGCTAATATGTAGCACTTCTCAGTATGTAGCCAAGAAAATCGCTTAAAAAAATAAAACTCTTTCTTAAGAATATTTTTAAACTTCCTACAGAATAAATCCTTCTATGCTCTTATAATCTTACTTATATAAGTATTTATATTTACTATAGAGTCTTCAGGCACATTTACACAAATTTGAAATCAATGATTTAACTTCGGTCAACATTTTATGTGATAGAGGTTCAAATTTTATAAAAGGATTTCGAGATTATGATCCATTATTTTGTTACGAGCATCGTCTTAATAATGTTTTGAAAACATCATTTTTTCAAAACGCAAAAAACAAAAAAAAAGCTCCTGTTCAATATCGACAGTTGATATTGCCAAATCATCAAATAATAGTACAATGACAAAAGAACAGAAAAACACTTTACTAAGTGTTAGTGATAGTTTATCAAGTGAAGATGAATCCGAAGATGATGATGATATATTAACATCAATACCAGTTACCCGCAACAGAAAGCAAAAAGATGATAATCAACAGTTGTCAAGAAAAGCATCAGTTGATGATATTCCCGGTGAAGCAAAAGCTGTTCTTCTTACATTATCACAATGTAAAAAGATTGTAAAATTTATCAAAAAGGTAGATCTTGTGAAATTTTTATAATAATGTTAATAGTCTTTTTTTAATATCTATTCAAGAGTGGATTAAACAAAGAGATCCAAAGGAGTGAGAGAGTAACAGTGCATCAAGCGATCGACATTCGCTGGTTATCAATCATGGAATCATTAAAATCCATATTAAGATCATTTAAAATTATCAAGAGAATTTTAATTAATAAACAACAATAAAAGCTTCTGATGAACGTGAACGACAAGATAATTGAACAACTTCTATTATTATTAAAACCATTTCAAGATGTTATTAAACTAATTCAAGTTGGTAATTCACCATCTTTACATATGGTCTTATTATGTACTCAAACATTGAGAGATGTCTTGAAATCTTATGAATCATTAATAAATTATAATCATGCTCGTGATGATCATCAATTAGAACATTTAGATGAAGCACAAGATGATATATTGGAACAATTAGAAGGTAAAAGTATCAATAGAAAATAGCATATTAAAATGATTATTTTTCATTTTATAGATGTAAAATTTTTCTTAAACCGAATGCGAAATTTGCTAAATGAAATGTTAGTACTGGATGTAAGGCATTATGCTGCTCCCGCATTACACCCCAAATACCGCTCATTAAAATCCTGCACATTCATCGAACGTTCTGAATGTTATCATTAGATTCGCCAACAATTGCAATTGATTGATATTTCAAGGAATGAACTAAATCAGCAGCAAACAAAAGAACCAACAGCAAAAAGATTTAAAGGTGATCCATTTCGCCGATTTGAATCAGATGACCTTAGCAGTCAACAAGAAACTAGCGGTGAATCTGGAAATGAAAGTGAAGAATATTCTTTCACAAGTAAAAAATTAGACGAACTTGGTCGTTATTTAAGTTTAGAGCTAGACAGATCCAAGTTATCATCAAACCCCCTGAACTTTTGGAAGGAGCAACATGAAAAATTTCCACAGCTATCTCGTCTAGCTCGCTCAATCTTTTCAATTCCTGCCACTTCTGCGGGGGTAGAAAGAGAATTTTCAGCAGCAGGACTAGTTATACAAGAACAAAGAACAAATTTAAGTCCTGAACAATTAGATAATCTTCTTTTGGTAAGATCGATGCAAAAGTATAATCATCTTTTGCAATGATGTTCGTTTTTTTTGTACGTTACCCTTTTTTTGTTGTGAACACGTAAATTATTCATAAAGATTGATCAGTTTTTTTTTGTTTTTGTTGATACTATTATTGTATCAGCACTGTGATGATGATTGTGTAATGTTTATAAATCTTGTATTATAATATATTTTTGTGATGAACATATTACTCAGGAACTTGTACGTCGTGTTCGTTTTTGTATTTATAAAGTTAAAAGTTGTTCAAAACGAGAACTGACGTTTATAAAATTATGAAATAAATTCATTAAAAGATGATAGAAATATGTGATATATGATATACTTAATAGAACATTAAAGATGTCAAGTTTGTCCTGCTTTTTGTCCTGTCCTGCCCTGCCCTGGTCTGTCCTGTCCTGCAGGACAAGCCTAGAAATTTCGTCCTATCCTGGGAGCGGCAGGACGAGAGGTTCTTTCAGGACAGGACAGGATAGAAAAACTTGTCCTGTTCTCGTCTCTGATATCATAACAGTTAAGATAGCTAAATATTGTAACAAACAATTCTGTGGATAAATATTCAATTCGAGTTATTGATCTATCGTCTATTGAAATGAAAATATGAAAAGATTTCTATCTACTATTCGTCTGATTTACTTTGTAATTTGATTGTTTCATCTTCCTTTGGTTGATTAAAAGTTAATGTTTGTTTATCGTTATTCATATATATGTTGAAAAGTTTCAAATGAAATTTTAAAAGAGGAATACAAAGTTCAGATGTTCCTTTGTATAGAAAACAAAAAGACTAAATCTTCTTCTTTTCTATATCAATATGATGTCAATTGGGAATTAGTAACTAGGCATTTGCAAGTGTTTTATGTCTGTATTATGCGCTAGAGCCAATTGAAATTCATACTATATAATTAGTAATTAAGTAGTTAGTAGAAATGCTCGGTCAAAAATAGATGCGGAATAATAGCAAATTTTCCACTTTTGGGAACAATATAACACTATAAAAAAATAGAGAAAATTTTTCTCTATTGAACTATGATTTTTGTTTTTTTCAAGAGCCAGCAAGAGGATATAACAAAGTAGAGGGCGTCATCATACAAAAGGAAAAAAATGCTTCCAACAGCAGCTGTACACAGCTCAAGGCAAATCTACAGAACACCTGCTGCTTGGAGTCGAATGTGGGTGTAAGTGTGTATCGATAAGTAGAAGCAACATCCAAATCCACACACAGACACAGTCACATCCACAAACAAACACTGGTTTGACGTAGTGTGATTAACAAAATCACGTGTTACTCTCATATTATGTTTTTCTCCACAACCATCTTATGTTAAAAAATAATTAGAAAAGTAATTGATTTCATTATCTATGTACTGTGAGTTTAGGTAAAATACAGCATCAAATAAAGGAAAATAAGAGAATGAGTGTGGATGTCGATGAAGAAATTACATACACTGACACTCACACCCAAAACAGATAAAAGTAAAATAACTCAAATGACCATGAAAAATATTGAGGTTTCTTCAGTTCTTAAACTTGTCTTGTATTTTCTTCCCTTGAGAAAGAAGAATAGAAAAAGGAGCTCTACTGTGTCCTGCATTCTGACAAGCTATTTCAAACAAAAAGAAAATTAAATAATATATAATGAACATCGATAGAGAATTTCGAATTGTCAAATAAACTATTTTTTACTTTTATTTTGTGAATATCTTTTAAAAACGTTTATGTTAGACAGCTGAACATTTTTGCCACAGTCTCAATATATTCTGAAAATTTCATGAAATTAGCATTTTTGTGGACCAAAATCGATTTTGAGGAAGGATATTGGTAATTTTGAGTGTTTGGATACTTTTTGAACTGATTGTTGGTGTAAGTTGTATTTTCATATGTACTGAGACTCATATTGTCAAAATAGTGATCGTTTGCTTTCGTATATTTATCTATTTAAAATAATGTTGATTTACAACTGCGATATAGTTTCAATTAATTTCTGTCTCTCATTTATCTGTTGACTTTTTCATATTGTTTCTGACACAGCTGTCTCTTATTGAGAATCAAAGCGGTTTGCTGCTCAAGCTCATTTGATTTTATACAATTAATAAGTGTATCAAAGTCAATTCGAAATATTGAAATAAAAAATAAAACTCCGTTCATTTTTCTGTGACACTTGGTATAAATATTTCGGAAAAGAAAGAAATTTGTCGGATAAAATGAGCATTTCAATAATAAATGATTGAATATTGCTATTGAATTGAATTAACTATTGAAATCGACAAATAATATTTTCGAACGTTTGATTCGATAAGTTTTTACTTCTCAACAAATTCTCTTCCAGTTTTAAAGTTTTCTTCACTTTGTATAAATATTTTCTTATGTATGTAACACATATAGTATTATTTGCATTGTTTTGTTTCTGGAAATATATCCTTGCACTATTGAATCGATCATTCGATTCAGTACATTTTCAAATAAAAATTGATTTTTCGAAAAACAAAAATCTTCTGAAATTCATTGATTTATGAATAAATTTTCTTCGATAATATATTGTTGATTTATTTGAAATAGAAAATTTTAAAAATATTTCCATTATTTTGACTAAATTCTGATCATGGTAAAGAGAATCTAATAGATTATTAATTTCTTTAGAAAATTTTTTAAAAAAGAAATGAATTTTCGCTCTCAGTCTGATTAAAATTATTAACAAACAAATTTTTTTTTGACTGATTCAACAATATTTGGATGAATTTAATGATGAAGAAAAATATTTTGTTTTGAAATGTATTTTACATTAACATGAATATGTTTATAGTAACTCATCTATGTTTGCAACAAATCTTTCTTTTCTTTTAAGAGATTCTTTTATCCAGAAAAAGAATATTTCATATTTTCTACTTTGACATTTAATTCCGTTCAATATTATTTATGTGACTTTTTCTTTTCTGTTCTGGGTATAAATTTTTAATATAACTCGATAGAGAAATTTTTGTACATACAATGGAACTTCTACCGTTATATATTTTTACAAAAAAAAAAAGATTTTCTGAAAAAATAAATTTTTTGTTGGTAATAAATCGTCGCATTAGTCTAAATAGTTTTAATAAAAAAAAAAAGTATAAAATAATTTCTAATTTTTAAATTAAAATTTTATCATTTATTAAAAATTGTTTCTAAATAAAAAGAATTATTTTATTTTGTATTTCAGAGAATATTAATAATATCTCAAATGTCAAAGCATACTCAATAAATTTAATAAGTGTAAAAAGAATGAAAACGAAAAGAGTTTTTATTCAATTTATTTATTTTTCATTAAAATTGATTTCTTCAAAGAATATTAAGATGACGAAATATTTTTTGTCAATTGTCTCTAAAGTTTTGAATTGAGAAGTGAAGCGAAAAGGTCGGAATATCTCGAGGGTAGTTATATCTCTGTTTTATGTATGTGTAATAAAAAGCTTTGTGTTGATGGTTGTAAATTTCCGTAGAACCTTTTTTCGTTTAAGAAGTTCAATCATTGTCTCGTCTACGACTATGTGCAACTATTGAGTATGCTTAATGTTTTGATGATTTCAATAAATGCAAAGAATATATTCGTCAAGTCAAGGACCTTTTTCAACTTACTAACAGAAGATACACAAAACGTTCTTCAGCATATACATAGTCTTCAACAATTATATTCCATATATGTGTATGACTTGTTCATTAAATGATATCTAATAGACAGAAAAGTTTGACGACGTAATTAATTTTATGTGTATGTTGTTATTTTTAGAAATCCATGGTCAATTCACACTACATGAGTATGGGTGTAGATGAAATCTAGAGGACACTTCATCATTTCTTCAGATATCAATCAAGGCAATATTTTATTTTAATTAATATTTGAACAAAAAACTTGCAGAGAAGACAAATGAAAAATCACTGTTTAGGTTAATATAAGATAATAAAGTAAAGCAAAAAAATGTGTTTTCTAAGTAACTATAAAATGTAGTTCAAAGTATTAATCAGGATAATATCATAATTGAAACGCTTTACTGATGAGTGTAAGATGGAACTTCTGTTACAATACCGTTATCATCTGTGACACATACGACACGTTTTGGATCGAGCATTCGATTTTGCATTCCATTGATTGCATTATATGGATGTAAGCCTATAATAAAAACAAAACATAGCTTTCAATAAATTTATGTTCAAGATCAATAATTAAACTTACTTGAGTCAAATTGTAAAATTATTTGGGATGCTGCTTCGAATGATTGCCCAACCAATTCAGGCCAGTCTTTGCGTTCAGACATTATTTTGCAAATATCTAAGAAAAAAAGAAGAGCCAATTTCAAACTAAAAAATTATGATTTTCAACTAAATTTTTCTTCGACATGAATGAAATGTCATCAACATTTCAAAGTGAGAGAAAAGTAATGTTCACTCACTCTATCTTCTTATGCTTTTATAAATACAAAAAGAATCAAAGAAAAAAAGAAAAGGATGGCGTCATTCAGATTACGTACGTTTCACTGAAAAGCTCGATATTAGGGATTCGTTATAACGATGTTTAAGTGTGTTTACCTGCAAAGTTTCTTTCTCTCTCTCTCTCTCGACTACTCTAACTTGACTATTATACAAAATGATTATTTTTTTCTTTCCTCTATCAAACGGTGTGTAACTGAAGAAAAAACCAGTTCTTTCTTTTTTCTCTCCAATGACACGGTTCGTTTACTCACACAAAATAAAGACATGCATAAAACGCAATTAACATTAATTTAACCAAAAAAACATTTTTCGTTTATAGAGAAAAAAAACGTATTCCATAGTGCTACAAATCTTCGAAAACTCTGAGTCTATCTATGGAATGAGGTGTGCAAGTGCATGGATCTTCTCAGCTTGTATAGTCATCATCCCTAAAAAACACACGAGTTCGCCGTTTCGTAAAACGAATACGGCTCTGTAGTAAAAACGAAGCAGTTATAAATGAATAGCTATAGTTCTCATAAAAGTACCTGAAAATTTTTCGATGATCAGCATTTTTCACTAGTTCTAAAAACATTCACATCAGAGAGATCATAGTTGATATATTCATGATGGGATGTACGACATGAGCAGTAGCATTTATTTAAAAAAGAAATTTATTGATCGTTAATAGAATTTCTTTGGCACAGATGGTAGCATTCATAATAAACATAACAATAATATGACTGCTACTATTCCTAATTTGATTTTATAGAAACATAACAACAATGAAATCGAATATTGATAAAAATCTTTTTCTTATTATATTTTGAAAGCTATCAGGTGAAATTGTTTTCAAAGGATGTCAATGAAAATCGTGAACAGATTTCTTCAAAATGATTTAATGTTTGGCATGCTCTTTGACATTTTGCTGAAAGTCAACGGCAAAATCCATGTTATTCATCGAAAGTTACCGGGTATGCTGCGATCAAAATAAAGATTCAAATCAAGTCTAGTAACATTTCGCAATTGAATATCAGTTAATCTGTATTTTTTTTCGCTTTCGAATGGGACAGTACTAACGCGGCATAAACTTTATATTGTCAAAGTCTCTACAATTCTCTAAATAAAGATTTAACTTTTTCATTTAAAATATCTTTTGGTACGATTTTAACTAAATTTCATTTAAAAAAAGAATATAGGGGCCATTTCAAGCAAAACAAAATGCATGCATCCTTCATTTAATTCTGATTCTTTACAAATGTTATACTTTTGAAAAATTTAAGCGTGATCAAATAAAGAACTTTGTCTGGAGTTTTTGTAGCTCCAGAAGTTATCTTTCAAATGCATTATTCAATTTTCAAGTGCTGTATTAATTCAAAGCTTTTTTTAAACTAAATTGCTTGAGGTAACATTCTATGTTTTTTTGTTTGGTGTCACGTTGCCAACACTAGGTTCTTACTCATAAATCCATTGAAAAAAAAGGTTTTTAGCGCTGATTTTCTCAGAGTATTTATAGAATAACTTACAAGGGAACATTCCCAGGTGTCGAAACGCTTTTCAGTCGGGATTTTACAGATTTCTTAGACCTTAGTGAGTTATGTCTACCCTTAAAAACGTTCGTGCCCTTCGCTTGTTTTCGAGGAGATCGAGCGTTTTTACTTTTATAGATATTAAGGTTTTCTTATATGAAAACCATAATCTCAGCTAATATAAGTTCAGACTAATTGAGATTTTTCTCACATATAGTTGTAGTTATATGTAAGACAATGTGAAAGTATGATATCAAACAATGTCGAAAACACAGTTATCAATTTAACAACATTCTGATGGGAGACACATCTCAATTAGTGTGAACTTATGTTAGCTGAGATAATGGTTTTCATATACGAAAACCTTAATATCTATAAAAGTAAAAATGCTCGATCTCCTCGAAAACAAGCTAAGGGCACGAACTTTTTTAAGGGTAGACATAACCCACTAAGGTCTACAAAATCTGTCAACTCCCGACTGAAAAGCGTTTCGACACCTGGGATTGTTCCCTTATCAGTCAAACATCTTTTCTGAAGAAAATCTTTCAAAATGAGAGAAAGAATAAAACGCTTAGTGCATCGTTAATAATGGTAAGCTTTTTTGAAAAGTTCTGATATCGATCTCGTAGGTGAGATATCAGAACTATATATATATATCAGAAGCACTCATCAAGAATCAAATTAGCAGTACTTTAATAATTTATCTTCAGATAAAGGGTTTATTAAAGAAAATTCGTTACGAGTATGCTTATTGGATAAGCTCTTTAAGAAGGTTAGGGTTTAAAATAACTATAAAAACAGTTTCAAGTCTTTGATAGACGTATATATTATAGAAAGCTTTATCAATCAAGAAAAAAGTACATAAAAATACTTCTGCAAAGATGGCAATGCCATTTTTAGAATATGTTTGAAGTTTGCGACAGTTCTCGCTTCACGTAGAATGTTTGTGTTTTCAATAAACGGACAGTAGTTTTCTAAGTATTACACTTGTAAGATGATTACGAATTCCCAATTTTCTCTTGTCAATTCCTGTGTTAATCGTAATATTTAAAGATATTTTCACGCAAAAATCTCATTTGTTCGTTATTTCCAATATAAAGCATGAATTTCTTAATATAAAAAGAATAGACATAAAATCCCTTAAGTATAGAATATTCATTGCTTTACTGTTATACGTCGTGTGTATTGTAAATGACATTTAAAGACTTAGCATTCTAATATCTCATAAACAAGAAATGAATATTGACGCTTTTGAATAACATAGAATATTTATAGTGAAAAAAGACGCGTAGAAGAAACTAGGCAATATAAGAAAACAAACTTAGGGTGTGGGTGTGGGTGTGTATTTAATTGGAGAGCTAATGCACATCCACCCCACACGCCACCCACATCCATACCCACACCCTTCAATTGCTCCATCAGGTGGAGCAATTGAAAACCTCTCTACCTCCTTCAATATTGTTCTTACATTTTTCTTCGAAAAAAATTTTTGAGCCTCCCCTAAATTAAAATCGTTTCGCCGCCTCTGCCCACATCCACACCCTTTTCTAGTTTCATAAGCATAACTAACCCATAAGTAAGATTAAAAAAAGATCCTTCACTCACTTCAAGACAAAACCGAACTCACGGAACTATAAAACCAGACTAATACTACTAACTCAATTAAACAATATTCTAATGTTTTCTCCTAACAAGATTGCTCTATACTATTACAACTAGGATTTCTAAATTGAAATTCGATGATACGTAAATAGACAAGTAGCTTGGAATTCTTTCAAATAAATCTCCCTTAATAACAAGTTATCTACTAGACTGGTATTCAATTCCTTAATGTAGGTACTAATCTTATTTATTTAAGAAATAGCAGTGAGAAAATGTGTATATTACCGATCTTGGCGCAGAAGCAGCCAGCTTTTGTCAATCTGACCATTTCAAAGCAATCGTTAATATAAAAAAGAGGTATCTAACTATATTCAGAATGACGGATAAATATTTTTGAACATTGTAAATCTTGTGAATAATCATGCAGATTTAAAGATAACGATTAGCTTCAGTGCCTATAGAAACGATCGGTATACATGACTGCATTTCGAAATGGTATAGTTCCCCGCACGATTATCATGAAATATGTGCATGATCATTTCCCGAGTCTGGTTGGTTGTTGCAATCCTTATCGAGCAATTATTTACATCTATTATCTACATGATTTTATTAAAAAAAAATATATATATTGATCATATTGACATGTTAGTTGACTTCAATGGAGAACCCCATGTCTTTTAGTATATCACCTGTTTTTTCTCAGGAAATAAAATCCATTAAATAATCAATATACATAACATAAACAATAGTATATGAGATGATATTTTCGATTTCCAATTAAAATACGAGAAGAGACACAATATGTGTCTTTTCATTACCATATAGCAAGGATGCTTCAAAATAAGCTACTGTTTTCGAAGTAGACAGAAATAAATATAACACGGATATTAGAGAATTTTATCACACATGACGAGTCATATATGGATAATGTTCGATCTTTAAAATCTCAAAATAGCTGCATACATATTTAATGGAAATAAGTCTAAATTATTATCTATTTGTGGAAAAAACTGAAACTCGTATCATGAAACCATATATAAAGTTGATTAGTGGCATTAAAAAAAAGGTTGTCTTACTCAGTTTTTAAGGCTGAATTCAAATCAAATATTTAAATCATATCTTAGTCAGACAAATCAAGCACTATCAGTTGTAAAATAAGTAGAAATACGTATATTGATAAAACGTGAAAAATGAGGAGGTGCGAAAGAATAGATGTAAAACACGGCTTTGGACAATTTAAAAAATTTTTAAAATTAGTTAATTTTGTAGGGTGGGTATGGGTATGGGTATTGAATGACGGATATGAATTACAAAATAATCCGAAACAATCGAAAAAGTAACCGTGAACTACAAGTGACTATAATTATGTTTATCCTTTTTTCTTATTCATAAGATACCAGGGACCAACAGGGATCACAAAACAGTACAACGAACTACCAGCGACTAACAATATCCAGCAGATAGCGCATAACACAAACGGTGTTTAAATCAAGTTCTGAGAAAGAACACTCAGACACCACATATCTTAGTGTGGGTGTCACTGAAGGACTCTTGAGGGTGTGAGTGTTGATGTATGGGTTGGTGTGTGGGTGTATGTGTGGAATTTGTATGTGGATGAAGTTGAGGGTGTTGGTGTGATATGGCTTGTGAATCTGGGTGCGATGATGGGTTCCAGTTTGCATGGGGGCGTTGTGCTCGGTACGTCTAGATTTTGA